AAAGTCTAATTAAGCAGGTCAAAGCATAAGAGAGAAAGGAAATGTGTGTGTAGTCAAGGGAAGATGGCAGCCTCAGCCGAGATCAAACATTCAGGATATCAACTCTGACAGACACTGTTTACACCTAGTATTAACATTAATTTCATAAGCGGTCAGTTCTATACAAGTGTAAACACGGTCCAAAACAGTTGCAATCCGAACACTCAGACGACATACGGAGGAAGTCAGAAACGCATTGTACCACATCGCATTTGTTCCAGACAAAATAAAAGGACCTCATGCTCGCCTCTCAATCATCAGTTGCAATAAAACAAGGGTTTACTTTACTGGTTATGTGCAGTTTTTAAAGAAAATGTGTCTAATTAAAAAAATTGGAATGCAAAACATATTGAAAGACCTGAGTGGTTGCATGAAATGTTAATACCAAGTAAACCTGTCTTGCCTGAACGCTTGTGACTGGATCACCTGAGATAGATGTTAATACAAGATACTAGCATGTGTGTGATTGATTTTGCTATCATTCCTATCCAAGAGTGAATACCCACCACAGCGCTACAGAGAAATCTGTGAGAAGTTCAACATACAATAACAAAGAAAGACAGAAAGGAAAAGATACTGATATGTAAAAAAAGAAGAGACATTCTGGGCAAAGCAAAACACAGCTAGCTTAAAGTACAGAAAGAAGGCCAGTGTGTGTGAGAGAGATGAGAATAGAAGCTTTCTGTCAACATATATGAAGATGAACGACCGTGCTCCCATCAGCCAGCCAAACAAAAACGGACTACACAACGCCTCTCTCTTCTCTTTTTCAATGCATACACATCTACCCATGACACGCACATACACAGGGACATAAATCATAAAACACGGCTCATACGGTGACCCACATACACAGAGACGAAAAACGGAAAGACCTCATCCTAAGAGATCCAAGCCAAACAAACGCATGGACAGATGGTGCAGGAAATTACCTTATCGGTCTTCTAACCATTCATCTCTCTGAAGACACCTCACTGTCCTGTTCCACTCCAATCCTCCTTTTCTTTCATGCTATACACACCAATTTCAGCATGTCTGTGTTGTGTATGGTCTAGACTCTAAAAGCAGCGAGGATTTGTAATGCAGTCTATTGTACTACGCTCAGCCTTTCACACAAACTTACACGGCACAATTGTGTTTCTGCCAAAGACCCGGGATCAATATAACCAGCTTTCACCCAAACACACTCACGGTACTCTCGCGCTGAATGCAGAAGTGTCTTTTTAACAGTGCAGCGCACAATGAAGAAGCTCTTACGGTGTTTGCTGCAGCGTAAAAGCATATATTTTACTCTTTTAAGGAGTGTGTGGTGATTTTGCCTCAAGAGATGAAGTTCAGCTTGAATGTTTTATGTTCCGTGCAGCTCCAAGAGTGACTGAATATGCTGTTGTCAGATATCCGGTGGGTGTTGGAGTCAGTCCTTTTTCCTTGTGCAAAGATAACAGACATTTTATATCTAACAAATATATGATATATGACAGTAAAAACCTTCTTAAAATGTCAGGAATCCAAATTCTCCTCACTGTTTGATGCGGAAACACACCTGCTCACACACATTAGGTCATCTCAGCCATGCTGCAGTCTTTCTCGCTGCTTGGTAGCATCAAAACAAAACCTGCTTCATCACAGAACGCAACCATAACCACCTCTACACCACTGTCCCCTGCCATACAACTACAATAAAAAGCACAACATGATGAATTTGTCCTTTTTAAATGACATTTTAGGCATGATAATACATCTAGAAACATCTACACATATATGCAAGCAATGCACAAACACATACAGGTATGCAAGCAATTGTTTAGGTAAAAAAAAGGGGTCGATTGGGATTTATGCAGGTTGTTGAGAATGATGTATGGATACACGCACACACACACCTAAACACACAACCAGATGCACACATTGCAGTACTGGGTGGGATGGGGTACAGTGTGACTTGTCCTGTATAAGACTAGATGAGATGGTACTTATGGGACGCAACTCATACCAGACAGGCACACAGGACAATGTGTGTTACTCACAGTTCTGAGTAGAGGATGTGCAGGTTGCCCACATTGTCAGTGTAGTTTGCTGGACTGAGCCAGGGCAGAACCAACAGCAGCAGAGCCTTCATGACCCTCTCTCTCCAGGGTCTTAAGTCTCTCTTTCTTTTGCTTTCTTTCTCTTTCCCTAGGCTGAATGCAGTGTTTCCTATCCGGCTTCCTCCCTGCCCCTTGCTCCTCCACCTCTACTACAGTTCTGAGCCCCCCTCCCGCCTTTCTCTCAAGTAAAAAAGCTATTCTTCCTTTTCCGTTTCTTCTTGTTTCTTTGTCTTTCCACTTTTCTTTCTTTCCTCGCCTCCCTCAGGCTTTTAGCCCGGTCATCTCAGCAGTTGAGAGATCAGCAGCTGTAGACGGAGAGGAAAAGACTGGGAGCGCTGCCAGCGGAGGAGAACAGAGAGTGCAGGATGAAGAAAGACTCGAGAAGAAAAGGAGGCAGGAGCGGCATCTGGAGCGGGCGCAGGTGCACTGGAGCCGAGATGGAGAAGAAAAGAGAAGGTTGAGGTAGAAGGAGAAGAGGAGGCAGAGAGCGGTGTTTGCTGGCACGCCGGTCGGGTGCGATGGTTGCGTTGCAGTCTAATCTGTCCTGGGCATCATCCAAGAGTGAGAGGATTTACGCTCACGAGCCCACATGCTGCTGTGAATGTGCGAGAGAGAGTATGTGTGAGTGTGGCAACACAGCGTCTGACTTATACTGCCGCATGCTCTACAGAGAGAGAGAGAACTGGGGCGAACCAACTGACCCCGGAGAGAGGGGGAGATGCAGGCTTGGGTGGTCCATCTATCATTGTCCGTATGCCTCAAAGGTAGAGCGTGTGGCAAAGACCACCCCCCTCTGCAACGCAACGGTTCATTCAGCTATGAAGCGGTGTGTGTGTGTTTATGTGTACGTGTGTGTAGAGAGTAGGCATGAGGAGGATGGATGGATGGACGCATGGACAGTAGGATAGATGAATGTATAGATGAACAAATGGATAGACAGAAAGAGACAGATAGAAAGTCAGCTGTGTGACTCTAGCGGCAGGCAGGCAGACAGACAGACAGACAGACAGATAGATAGATAGATAGATAGATAGATAGATAGATAGATAGATAGATAGATAGATAGATAGATAGACTCTATTTATAGCTTGAATATTCTTCAATCATTCTCCAAAGAGACAATAACTCACAAGATCACGTAATCAGACAATGGTTATAGGTTCATAGATCTCCAAACTTTACAGCAGTTTCATTAACTGTATGATTTGGTGACAGTATAGTATGTGCTATCATCAATATTGCAGGTCCGTAAGAGCCCAAGGACAGCCTAAGGCGGTACATTCCCTCCTCTCTACCCAGATCTGATCTAGGATTCCAGGAAAGTCTGTACACCGCCAAATACATGCAGACACAAGCACATGCTTATGCACACTGAGAGACAAAGTGCATCTAGATGTGCTTGACTGCAAACACAAAAAATTTAACCAGACCAACATACGGTACAAGATACACAGTTCTCAGCATTTGATACAAAGCTCCAGAGCACATGCAAACTAGCTAAAACACATCAAAGCAGCAATCAAAACTGTACACCAAATATTTTCACCACACAGTTTTGAGTCACAAGTGTGAAGGAAGCCTCACGGTTAAACATCACATGACCACAAATGCTAGAACACAAACTCAATCTGTAGCAGCTGACACAGAAAAATGCATCTCTTGAGCTTACATGCATGGAATCAAGAGGAACTTTGTACAAAAGTTCTCAAAAAAAAAATGAAGTGAATTGAAGGCCATTCTTACATAGAAAGAGTCTTTGGCTGGTCCTCACCAGTTCTTGTTCCGCTTAAGTCCCGTCCCATTTTGAATGTTGTCCAACTTTACAGTCCTGAACCAACTAAGACCACTGGAGACCAGACCACATTGGAGAAAGCAGGGAGAGGAAGAGAAAGACAAAGAACGATGAACTGAAAGCCCAAGAGCCCAGTATAAAAAGAGAAGGATGTGGGAGGGGAGAGGAGCAATAGTATGGAAAGAAGCAAGTGTGGGTTTTTGGTTGACTGGAGAAAAGGGCAAGTTGATTATGTTTCCGTAAGTGGAATTTTAAATGAGAGGGAAACTTTCCATTAACGCCAGTAACAAAATGCAATTAATTTCAACAGAGGCCCTCAGGTCTGTGGAGCACTAATGATTCAGAAACAGTCCACAGGAACGACAGAGACTCTCCCTGTTGAAAAAATCAGCATATGCTGGTTAGGTATGTTTTGACGCTGGGATGCTGGTTTAAGCTGGTCCTTTGCTGGTTTATGCTGGTCCTTTGCTGGTTTAAACTGGTCCTTTGCTGGTTTAAGCTGGTCCTTTGCTGGTTTGCATAACCATATGCTGTTTTTTTCAACAGGGCTACCATCCTGAAAATGGCGAGAGTGAGGGAGAGTTCCAATAAAAACCATTAGTTAGCATAACGTCCCCAAAGGCACTGAGGTGGAAGATATCTTAGTCAGTTAAACAGAGGTCACTGTGGGGTTGCTACCTCTTGAGGAGTGGAGAACAAAAGAATCCTCTAACGAAATAAACAAACAAATGCATGCACGCAGACGGAGATGTGCTCGACACATGTCTTCTATTGAGGCGAATCGTTGACAAGAGTCTTTTATGAATGACAATGAATGAAGAGCTGCTTATGAATGCCAATGAGAAGATGAAGCGTATCAGTCACATTCAGCAATTCAAAACTTGCTTATACAGTTCAATACATTAATCTGTGCTTTGCCAATCCTTCATGTTAACCTCAAATTGAAGATGAGTCCTTACTGAAAATGTCCTTCAAACCTTAAGGCTGAATGTCTGGATCAACATCTTTGAAACTGAAAAATAGTTTTTTAACCAATAAAACTTATTAGGACTAGGGATGGCCTCATATTTATCTCCCCACCACAATTTTTTCATGATTTCATCTGGTTGTAAACATTACAGTGTGGTCACATTTACTGTTGCTTGGCAAAATTTCACAAGTGAAATCTAGTCAGTTCAATGGGAATTGGTGTAATGCAATTTCGCCAGATAAACTTCTGGTGGTGAAACATTTCCCTCTGCAAATTTGCAGCAATGTCTAATAACAAGCCTCTTGGTTGATGTTCATCAGTGACCTCTGTGTGGGCAGAAACTCGTAACTAAGCAACAAAACAAAACAGAAGATCCACAATGGACGAGCGGCAACTATTCAGCCAACACCAACATTATAAACCTGTCAATAAAAAAGTCTGTCTGGAAAGCAGTTATTTAGGGTTGGTTTGATTGCTGGCTGGCAGAATAGATTTGGATGTTCAATTCATTGTCATTATACCTGTATGTAATTCATGGTATTTTGTCACATTTGGTTCTGCTTTTTTTTCTCTGAGCAACGGTAAATGTGACCACACCATGGTAAGGATCAGGGTTGTAGAAAGGTCTGAAAATGGACAGACACAATTATAAAACTTATCAGCTTGGCTCATGAATATTGAAGGGATAGTTCACCCAAAACTTAAAATTCTGTCATTAATTACTCACAAATTAAGATATTTTTGATGAAATTCAAGAGATTTCTTACCCTAGATAGACAGCAAAGGAAATACCATGTTCAAGGCCTAGAAAGGTAGTTAGGACATCATTAAAATAGTCAATGTGACATCAGTGGTTCAACTGTTCCACCATAAAGCTACAAGAATACTTTTTGTGAGCAAAGAAAACAAAAATAACGACTTTATTCAATAATTCCTTCTCTTCTATGTCAGTCTTCGACAGAGTTGAACGTAGAGGTAGAACCCAGCCGCGCTGCGCCTTGTTTACAAGCAGAGGGATACGTGAGTAAGAGAAGAAATTGTTGAATAAAGTCATTGCTTTTGTTTTCTTTGCACACAAAAAGTATTCTCGTAGATTCATACAATTAAGGTTGAACCACTGCTGTCACATGGACTATTTTATCTATGTCCTCACTACCTTTCTGGGCCTTGAACGTGGTAGTTGCATTGCTGTCTATGGAGGGTCAGAAAGCTCTCAGATTTCATTTAAAATATCTTAATTTGTGTTCCGAAGATGAACAAAAGTATTAAGGGGTTTGGAACGACATGAGGGGGAGTAATTAATGACAGAATTTTAATTTTTGGGTGAACTATCCCTTAAAAAAATACCTAATTTATATTTAATAGGCCAAAAAGTCCTAATTAATTTGTTGACAGTTAAATAAGCATTTGCCATAGTAAGGTGGCTGCTTAGTTTTTGCATCAATGCAGCTGTTTGGCTTCAGGTAAAATAAACTTCAAAAACAATGATATTTCGCAAAAACAGTGCCCCTGGTTGTATTCGGGTTATGATGAAAGCAATATTGCTCCAGGACCAAGAAAAGAAGCAGATCCATGTTCTACTTGGCTAAATCATATTGTACGTTTTCCAAACCTGTCTACCACCATCTTAAATTTCATCAAGAAGCTCAAATCTTGTTAAGATCACTACTATCACATCAAAAACAGCTCTGAGGGGGATTTCCTCACCGGCTCCTGATGTGTCCCTCCATTTCTCCCCGCGGCATCACTTCAGTGCAGTGTTCGGTAAAGGGGCAGGACACCATCAGTTTATCCAGCAGCTTGTGCACCAGCAGGCTGGACTTGCGACAGGTCTGCAGCATCAGGGGAGTGCGGTCCACCGGGCAGAAGTCGCTCTCCAGCAGGAAGTTTGTCAGGCACTCCTGGCAATAGGTATGTCCACAGGGGGTGTCCAGTGGCCGGATCAAAGGCTGAAGGCAGATGTGGCACATAAGGTCATCATCCACCTCCTCTTTATAGGAATATTCATGGTTCTCCTCCTGTAGGTGCCGTTGTCCACAGACATGGCAAAGGTCAGGAGGAGGGGACGTGGGACTGACTCCTGTTGCACCGCAAATGGGCATCGCCACAGCACCCCCCTCTTCCTGATCACTCATTGTGTAATTGTGTCGAAGCTTTACTGAATCTTTGTGGTTGGAGGGCTTTGTCGTGTCAGGTTGCGTTTTGAGCCATCCACCTGTATGGGAGGAGCACATAAAAAAAAAAGAAGAAGAAAAAAAATGAAAGGAACTGTCATTAATGGCAAATAGGTGTGTCCACATAATAATCTTGTTAGCTGTGTTTGCTGGAAAGGCAGTTTCGCACACACCCAAAGACACAGTTTAGCAAAAAGAGGGCAGCAAAAATTAGTTTTTACTTTCTGCCCATTCTGCTCTTACTCTATTTTTAATTCCCTGAGCTGGCAGAAGGATAAATATCAGACTGATCCAAAACTCATTTTATATTCCACAGGCAACAGAAATATCAATATCGCACCTGAGACTCTTAATAAACCCAGTTGGAGAAAAAGAAAAGTAATTTTATAACTGGCAGTTATTCAGTAGAACTTTTAAGCATGGTCACACAGAGAACAGCTACTTTGCTAGCATTATTCTGGATGTTTCCAGAAGCAGTTATACCTGGCTTCATGTGAGCCTGTCATTTACTAGTGAAAAGAATTGTGTTTGTGTGTTTCTATGTAGCTGAGTTTACATAAACTCCTAGCTTAGCTTTAGCTTCATGCCATTCTGAACCTGTAACTTTGTTTATTTAATTACCTTTGAAAGGAGAGAGTGAGCTTTTTGGAGCTTGACAGACATAGTCTCTATAAACTGTTGTTTTATAATAAATGAATAAATGTTCCACAGTAAAAACAACCGCATACAGGTTTTGAATGACATGTGGGTGAGTAAATAATGACAAATGTTTAACTTCATACTTTATCTTATTAAAGAAATGCTGTGCTCAGGATGTTCTTGCATAAGACGGAGTTTATCACCACACCTGTTGTATACAGACAACTCATTCGCACGTGGGAGTTTGTATGGTTATGATGGGAGTGTAATATTATTACTGCCATAAAATTTTGTCTGGAGTGTCTCACTGAGTACAATCTCTGCACTGAACATAGTGTACACTCTCAAAGTCTCGTTATATCTTTCTGTGAGTTTGAATATGGCTTCTCCGATTTTGTGAAGTCACCCACTGTTGATTTGAACAGGAAACCGTTGAACGACAGTGAACTGCAGGTGAATGCATGAGAATAGCTTTATTGTCTGCCTCCCTGTAATCTGATCTGAGCTTAACCAGGACTATATAAGAGGACACACACACACACTCCCACCCATAAAGGAGTGTGCCCAAGGACACAGTTATACCTGGCAACCCTGCGTTCTCCGTAAATCATCATCTCTTTAATGATCCTTCAGAGTGACGATATGGCTTGAGTATGCGACTGCATTGAATTACACACACACACACACACACACACACAATAATCGTTTTACCCTGCGGCTCTTATTCAATTGGAATTTTCCATTTTCTTTTGTCTTCCCGCATTCAAAGGCACTTCTAGTGAAAAATCCATTGTTCTAAAAAAACAGAATGACAGGACTTAATAGCTACTCGTTTCATTTTACTTTCTTTCTTTCAACTCTGACTCTTTCACTCATATTTTCCTCCGAGGAGATAATATTGTTTCTCGGGTGGCCTTTGGCACAGAGGAAAGCTGTGGTAAGTGTACTAAGCATAAAAGAGTGTTAATGGCATTAAAGTGCACAATCAACCAGAAAGCTACACAAATAAAAATAACAGTATAATCTTAGATCCAGTGGGATCAATGTTTAATGACTGAAAAAGCTGAAAATATCCTCAATAAATGGCTTAATGGAAGGAATATACAGACAAACACAGAACATAGTGTGTATTAATGGTTCAATCATTTGTGCCTAATCAGCCTTGTCTCGTGTGTGTGTGTGTGTGTGTGTGTGTGTGTGTGTGTGTGTGTGTGTGTGTGTGTGTGTGTGTGTGTGTGTTGTGTGCCAGCACTTTTATATCACTCAGTACAGACAAACATACTTTCCCATCACACAAAGTGCACAGCAATGCAACAATGAAGGAATTAATGCAAAAGCAGACACAAAAATATATAGTGGGGTCCAAAAGTCTAAGACTACTAGTGAAAATGCTTATAGATGGCATTTTTTCCCTATAACATCTCAGCCTTTCAATACCACCCGTGCTTCTGATAGAATAGAACAGATAGCACACTTGATGAAGGCAGCACTGTAAGAAAAGAGGCAGCAGGGTGGATCTCTTGCTCTCTTGCTCCTGCTGTGGATCTGTATTTGACTTCACCACTCTTTGTTCAGACATGTTTTAGAAGAACATTCCACGGTGTATCGGAATCTTTCGATACTCTGATTTCAACCTGAACCCCGAATGTGCGATTTTGTTATGTTACAGCAATAAGTATTTTCAAAATCAGATCTATCTATCTATCTATCTATCTATCTATCTATCTATCTATCTATCTATCTATCTATCTATCTATCTATCTATCTATCTATCCACACACACACAAAATATTATGTAATAATTTTGTTGAACAGGGTTGAATGGTTGAGTTATAGTAGGGTTCCCTTTTGATTAGACATTCAACTGTTGAGTCATATAGCTAATGAATAATGCAATAAATCCATACAGTGATTAATGCACATATAATGACTATTCAGCGGAAATTATGGATATTAATGAGCATAGCCATTCACAAAAAATAACATTCATAAAGAGATGATAGAAGTGGGTGTTCTAAATGTGAGTGAGTGCATGAGGAAAATAACCACAAACAATGCAATATATCTCAGAAGAGACATTTTGAACAAACACAGTCCATATGAGAAATGAGGTTATATGTTTCTAGTATGTAGGAGAGGAACATCAAAACTTCATGCCAGCATAGCGTGGGGAGAGTTACATAAGTGTTCATATGGAAATGTGCATAGCTCACCCCCACCCTTTTCGTTTTCAGCCTCTTCCTGTATGAACCCCTCTCCTCCTATCTTCCTCTTTAACCCACTTTTCTTCCAATATATTTTCATTCTGTTCCTTTAGGATCTTGTCTCAATAATCCTGTCTGTTCCTCTCTATGCCATCTTTTGTTTCCACTGATGTTATGTTACATGTATAGTGTGGTTCAAAAATTCTTAGTGTGGTCTTTTAAATTTTAAAATGTTAAATTTTAAAATATTTTAATTAAAAACGATTTAATTATAATATAATATAATATAATATAATATAATATAATATAATATAATATAATATAATATAATATAAAATAATGCCATCTAGCAGATGACTAGTATTTTGTAGGATTGATGTTTTACACTCCATATAATGTCTTATTGCTGATTAAACCTAGAAGTTATGCCATATATAGTAAAATTCAATAAAGATAACAGAAAACATAGCAAAAGTGAGGCTATAATTTTCCATTTCCACACACACACACACACACACACACACATTCACGCATACTGATAGGTGACATGCTATTGGTTATCCCGGCTAAAGAGTTGGTGGTCAAAACCGCTGACAAAAACTCAATCTAACCAAAAGAATAATTATGACGATTATCAATCTAAGCTTAAGGTGTTTACACTACAAATATATGAACAGCAACACCTGCGCAATGCTTACACACATACCTCCATGTGCACAAACATACACATTTTCACAGGCTTTGTGACTTCAAAGGGTTCATCTTGCTTTATACACAAAGAAAGTTTCTCCACAGCTGTGCTGAGTCAACAAGTACATGCTTATCAAAAAAAAAAATCAGCATCAGGTGAAAGTTACAGATAAAATGTGCTGAGTAAATATACTCAGACCTGTGTATTTCTCCTGCTTACCTGATCAGGTAATCCAACCGCTCCGGCAGAGGGAAACTGAGGAAGGAGAGTGAATGAGAGAAAGTAAAAGAGAAAATAAGAGGACTTTGTCCCTGTGGCCACAGGTTAAAAATTTCCCTGATGTCAGGTAAACTTTGAAAGTTGTCCCAATGTTCTTCAAGTGAATATTTCAGTCCAGAGACCCCTGGCCATCCTATCATGCACTGGGACGCCAACTCCTGACGCACACATGCATGCACCTGATACAGGAAGTGAGAGAGAAGAGGCAGAGCTAAAACGGTAGGCAGGTAAACATGAGAACTGCCCTAACCTGCTTTGGTAGGGCCGGGAACTGGTTTACACACACACACACACACACACACACACACACACACACACACACGGTATAACTGAGAGGAAGACAGCAGTCTCTTAACATTATACTACATAAATAAAGACATAAGTTTGTGTGTACACTAAACACACTACAGTAGAATCTATCACAACACACAAATGTAATTTTTTAACGGAAGTAAATGCTTATATGCACCCACACCAAACCGAATGCAAATACACTGACGGCATGTGGCAAGCTGTGACATGCCTCTGAGAAATCCTCGTACATAACTTTGAACAAAGTGCTTTAAGAACCCCAAACAATTCAGTAAAGCTGATTTTCACTATCCAAAGGCCCACACCCAACTAACGTCACCAGACAGAGAGCAACGGCTGGTCTTATCTTCGCACGCTGCATTTGATGATTTGGTTATGATCTTTGTCTGGGTGGGGGTTACTTGCACAAAATCAACTGTGGATATTTGTCTTTGCTTGCTGTAGATTTGATTTCTCAGGAAATCGTGTGTCCTAATGTTTGTGTGAGTATGGGCTTTGGGCTGTGTGATTAAAAACTCTTACTCTCTTAGAGTTCCCTCTAACTCTAACACTTTCTATTCTATTTTAATTCTACTTTATCTATATTTATCTTTTTTATTCTTTATTTAAAAAAACAACAAAAAACAAACACTTGCTTTCTTCTTTTTCTATTCTATCTACTTGTTTTTCTTTGTTTGTGTGTGTGTATATGTGTGTGTGTGTATAATATATATATATATATATACACACCTTGCTACGTGTACTGCGTTAGGCTAACCGAGACTTGTCATTTGCACTTATATATTGTTGCTCTTTTGTTAGTTTTGACTGCTTTTATTGTCCTCATTTGTAAGTCGCTTTGGATAAAAGTGTCTGCTAAATGACTAAATGTAAATGTAAGAAAGATTGTATGGAGATCAGGGGCAGTTTTTACAGCTCATGCTTGGTAAAGTTTTGTCTCTTCCTGAGAAAAATTAGGTGTGATCATTTCAATGTGTGAGAATAAAAAAGAGAGAGAGAGAGAGAGAGAGAGAGAGAGAGAGAGAGAGAGAGAGATTTAATATTGTTTCAATGTCCAATATTTTTCTTCAGCTGCCAAAATGTTTCGTCAAAGTTTGAATTCAAACTAAACAGTAAATGCACTTAATTGTAATTCTCAGAAAATGCCAATATCAAATATCAACATCAATTATTACAGTAGAGCAATGGCAAACTCTCTGCGGGCATAACTGGTTGCTAAATAAATAAATAAACTCGCATCCCGTTCATTTTCATTTATCTTAAATTTCAGTTGCTTTCAACTCCAGCTTTTAAATACATTTCTAAATTCATAGCTGAGGCCTTCAAGCTGACTTTGAGCTACTCAATCACACATTGAGTCACAAGTGACGTTCTATATAACTTTGTCATTGCTGAATTTATTAATCAAGGAAGGGAGAGCTGATTTTTCCAAACAGGTTTATATATTCTGACACATTGTATAAATGAATCAGAAAACACAAGTAACCAGAAGGTGTTTTTGCATCTACACACACGTGCATGTTTAAATGGGTCATTTGTGTCTGTGTGTCAGGGTGTGGATATTTAGACAATTACTGGTCTTTGAATCATGAGACAGATCACAAGTTTAAACTCTGAATAATTACTGTAAGTGTTTCACTTCATAGCCAAATAAACTTTGTTTTAAATAAATCCAAGACCACTAACATATCAACCAGCACATCAAAAACGAAAGACTCTAGAACAAGGGTGGCTCTATAAAACCTTTTTAAAAATCAGGTTTTATAGAGCTGTCTGCTTTGATTAATGTGAAATCAGTGGAGTACTATCATCTGTTTATTCTGAAATTTGATTCTGGACTATAATATTCATGATGCCACTTTTACGTATTGATTTTTTGTTGTTGTATTTTCCCCAGATAAGGCACCTAATTTATGCGATGTATTTGGTTGCTTTTGGTTTCAGATTGAACACTACCTTTCAAAAGTTTGAGGTCTGAAAGACTTTTAAAATATTTTTTTAAAGAAGTCTCTTATGCTCACCAACACTGCATTTTTTGCAGCCTTGCTAAAATAATATTACAGTAAAAACAGAAATATTTTGAAATATTATTACAATTTGGAACAACGGTTTTATATTTTAATATATAATATGTAATATATTTCTGTGGTGGCTAAGCTGACTTTTCAGCAGCCATTATTTCAGTCTTCAGTGACACATTTGCAGCACTCTTTGATCAGCATTTCTTTGAAATCAAAATCTTTTGTAACATAAAACATTTCTTGCATACCTGAATAAGTTTGAAAAAGTATGAATTTCTTTAAAAAAATCTTACTGACCACAAACTTTTGAACAGTGGTATATAACTATGATGAAACATCAAATATGTCTATGCACATGCATGTGGCCATGGCTATGTGTGTGATCATGAATAAATCATTAGACCATAAGTGAGCGCAAGTAGGGCATAACTGGCTCAGTTTATGACAACATGACAATGCCCACATAATCCCACATCATACAACAAACATACAGTCACACACATACAGTACACACTAACATAAAAGCAGACTTGTAAGCACATCCAGGCCAGCTTAATTTAGTATGCTGTTATATCCCATTAAAAATATGTATATGTTTTGCAACAAAATCTTTTTTTTAAGGATAAGTCGCTGCAGATTTTAAGTGTTTTAGCGGTCATCCGAATATCCGCTTCCTCCAAATCAACTAAACCATCAGTGTTGGGGGTAACGCATTACAAGTAACTCCAGTTACGTAATCAGATTACTTTTTTTCAAGTAACTAGTAAAGTAACGCATTACTTTTTAATTTACAAGAGAATATCTAAGTTATTTTTTCAAATAAGTAACGCAAGTTACTTTTTTTCCTCCAATTTATTGACTGACAGCTCTCCTGTCCCCATGTTGAGAGAAATCAGAAGATGTTATTGTAGTTCTAAAATAAATATGAAACAACAACAACACAGATTCAGTATTTCTCAAAATGAATAAAAATAATGCAACTCTGAATATGACGCAAACCTGCAATAAATAAATGTTAAACAACACAAATATCCTTTATGAATTTAATCCCATTCTATTAACCAATGTCTTTGCTTCTGACCTTCGATGATCCAGTTCAACCGTACTAATAAGCAAATTTTACTCCAGACAAAAATTTGTGTGTCGTTTTTTATTGCTGAAGTGTGTTGAAATTTCTTCTTCTGCATTCTACTGTACGGACGTAAATTTACTTTCCCTTCAGCCTGAGGCTTTAATTTTTCACTTTTGGTGTGAAAAGGCTTTTATATTTGCAAAAAACAAACAAGCAAGCCCTGTCCAGATTTAAAAAGTAACGCAAAAGTAACGTAACAAATTACTTTCCATAAAAAGTAACTAAGTAACGTAATTAGTTACTTTTTTATGGAGTAACGCAATATTGTAATGCATTACTTTTAAAAGTAACTTTCCCCAACACTGTAAACCAGTTGGATAAGACTTCTGAGAATCAGCTCTCAGAGCATTGTGTGATAGCACATTGACACCAGCTGTGCATTTGCATGCTTTTATGTGTGCCTGTATGTATCATTATAGTATAATGATTAAAGCTCATGCAGCTGATCTATTACTGTATGACACACACATACACACACATTTCAAGGTGACTTTAATGCTGTAGTGCAATGGAAACACCCCACCTTCCCATGATGCAGTGTGGTGACCTGCTGTCACCCTAATCATCCTCTCACTGACCCCCCTGCAGAGAACGAGAGGCAGGACACACACACACACACACACACACACACACACTGTGATACTCCTGTGAGAACTTTTAGACAAGAGACACGAGGCACCTTTTCTTTCTGTTTTGCTCTTCTTCTCATTCTATCTCTCCTGCGGTCTTACTTACAGGAAGTAGTTTGCATGCTATTTTCAATTCACTCATTTTATTTTAGTCCACTCTCATGCATCTATCTCTTGCATTAATTCTCATATTTTTCTCTCTCATCCTAATAATTATGGTAACGCTTTACAAAAAGGTTCCATTTGTTAACATTCGTTAACTACATTAATTAACATGAACTAACAATGAAACATAATTCTAAGCATTAATAAATCTCAGTTTACTTTCAACGGTAACGTTAAAATTAAAAGTTTTATCTGTTAATATTATTTATTGTATGTGAGCTAATGTGAACTACAAATGAACAGTTGTATTTTTTATAAACTAACGTTATGTTAGTTATTGAAGTAATATTTACTAATGGGACGTTAGTAGCTTCCCAATTCATTCTTCCATCCACTTCATCTTTATTTTTCTCAGACTTGGACAGTATGACATTGAGTATTACTGATTAATAATTAGATCTATAACATAATGCTTGGGTTTTGTCAGTATATATTAATTTATTCACAAATGCATTAAATATGTGATTCATACAGACTTCTATGATAAGCATGTTTTTCATTTCTGAATTTAAATTAATTTAGATATTTTTTGAGGGGCATAAAGTGAAAAAAATATCAGGATGATATAACTCTCCTAATATCATAAAGAAAAATCCTTAGTAACAATTAAATTCTTGTAAAGAAAACCAAAGCAGTTTGGCATAAACTTTTATTTTTTTCTAATATTTTAACAAAACTGCTTCACTGCTTGAAAAAAAAAACAGCAAAATCCTCGTTTAACCAGCATGCATTCAATAAATCAAAAAAATCTGACACATTCAATATTAAATATATTTTAATTTTATACAAAATTTGTTGAGTGGCCCAACTCAACAAATGTGGCCCAATTATTATTGTATTTATATTGCAATTTAAGACTAACTTAAGTCTGAGGCAGAGAAAAATAAGGATGTGTAGAAGAGAGAGCTAAAGTCAGTATTAGAGCTAGAGTCACTA